GATTCTATCTTGTGGGTAAAACAAGACCTCCACGAGCAAAACCCGATTCAGATGCACTCAAAATTTGCTTCAGCGCTTAAAAAATTAAGTAAATGAGCGGCGAAGGAGCCAGAAGCTGCTTCGTCTGTGAGAAAGCGTTTAGCTGTGTTTGTCCGGTGGAGAACTGACAGTGAAGTGAACACGCCTAACTGTGAATGACACTCCCATACAGTCACAGCACCGCCCGCGCTCAACCAAGCACTTTGATGTCAGACAGACATATATCAAATCCAAGTATCAGTTTTGCAGTGGTGCTGGAATGGATGGATAGATAAAATGATGAACAAATGGATGGATATACAGAAAGATAGAAAGTATTTGTGAAAGATTAATCAACTGAAACTTTTTATATTTGGTCACACACTAACAGTCAACAGGGTGGTGTGACATTTACACTAATAATAGTGTCATTATTAAAATGTTATCGCTTTTGGTTGTGAGATTTGTCATATCTGCACTTTTAAACTGTCTAGTTGCTCTAACTGTTGGCTTTTGTGATTGCTTATGAGATTTTAATATGAATTAAATCCAAATACCAGCTTCGCAATTCTGCCCAAATGGACGGATAGATAGAATGATGAACAGATGATGGACAAATGGACAGACATGGTCACCTGTGCAAATTGTTGCCTCAGTTTCCTGTTCTTAGCTGACAGGAGTGGCACCCGGTGTGGTGTTTTACTGCTGTAACGCATCTGCCTCAATGTTGGACATGTTGTGCGTTCAGAGATGCTCTTCTGCATACCTCAGTTGTAACGTGTGCTAATCTGAGTTACTGTTGTCTTTCTATCAGCTCGAACCAGTCTGGCGATTCTCCTCTGACCTCTGGCATCAACAAGGCATTTGCCCCACAGAACTGCAGCTCACTTGATACTTTCTCTTTTTCGGACCATTCTCTGTAAACCCTAGAGATGGTTGTGCTTGAAAATCCCAGTAGATCAGCAGTTTCTGAAATACTCAGACCAGCCAGTCTGGTACCAACAACCATACCACATTCAAAGTCACTTAAATACCCCTTCTTCCCCATTCTGATGCTCGGTTTGAACTGCAGCAGATCGTCTTGACTATGTCTACATGCCTAAATGCATTGAGTTGTGACAATGTGATTGGTGAATGGCTGATTAGAAATTTGTTAATGAGCAGCTGTACCTAATAAAGTGGCCGGTGAGTGTAGATAGATAGATAGATAGATAGATAGATAGATAGATAGATAGATAGATAGATAGATAGATAGATAGATAGATAGATAGATAGATAGATAGATAGATAGATAGACAGATAGAGGGTTGGCATTATTTGTGAAAGATTAATCAACTGGAACCTGTTATATTTGGTCACACAGTCAACAGTCGTGTGACATTTACACTATTAAAAGTGTAATTTCATAAAAATGCTAAGCTTTCAGTTGTGGGATTTGTCATCAGTGATGTATTCACATCTGTACTGTACTTTTAAACTGTTTAGTCGCTTTAATAGTTACACAACATAATTAAATGGATAATGTACAATTAAATGGATGGTTCACCTAAAAAAACATTTTACTCACTACAGTTGCTCTCCCTCAAGTGGTTGCAAATATTCAGTTTCTTTCTTCCGTTGACCACAAAAGAAGATCTTGGAAACCCTTAAGTATTGACATCCACAGTAGTTACAAAGAAGAAACAGGTTTGTCACAGGATTTTATTTGTTTTGATCTTTTTTGGGTGAACTTTAAGCTTCAATATATTTGATTGCCAAATGCTTGATTAACCGATACAGGAATTTCTGGTACCAGATTGTAAAAGCTCCAATCAAATCCTTGTTTTCTGAAAGGGATTAAAGACCATTTCATTTATTAGGGAGACATGAAACAAAAAAAACAAAAAAACTGTTAAACTGGTCAGGCATTTGCAATTGCTTTACTAGATTTTAATATGAATGAAATCCAAATATCAGTTTTGCAATGGTGCTGAAATGGATGGATAGATAGAATGATGCATGAAAAGATGAATGAATGGACTAATGGACAGACAGATAGATAGAGACAAACAGACAATTCGAAAGAAAATGATAGACAGAAATGGACTAAGGTAGACTTGCTGCTTGTTCAAACTACTTATTTAAGTTGAATTAACACAATTTTCGAGGCTTTTTTGGGGGCAACTCAAATGTTTAATGTTCAATCCACTAACATTTGTAAAAACAATTAGGTTAACTTGATTAATTTGTGTTGGGAAAACAAAGGAATTGTGGAACAGTGTACACTCACATAAATGGCGTTTGTTTGTCGTTTGTTCAAAATGAGCTGAAACAACACAATTCTTAAAGTTTGTTGTGACAACTTAATTGTTTTATGCTCAATCTAATTAAATTAGTAAAAAAATACTAACTTAATTTTCCTTATGTTGTCCAAACTCAAATCGATTATGTGGAACCCTGCATTTTTTAGTGTACATGCATATAGTATATGTATGTAAACATAAATAGATGGACGTCATCAAAAGAGAGATCAGCAAGTGTTGTCAGCATGGAGCGGGATCTGGAAAACAATGCGACATTCCGTTCCTCACCGCCACTATAATGGGCTGGATTAAAATGACTTGCTGCATTAGTGGCCATGGCCTGCTCAAAGAAAATACCAACAACAGGAGGATTATTCCAGTGGGCACAACTGATGTGCGTGTGTGTTTGCGCGTGCACCGTTCAAGCTCAAAACACTGAACACACTGAGATCAGCAGATAAAAAGTGTCCACACGTTCACTAAATAATAAGTGCATCAGTTCAGTTAGCTGAAAACAGCACTGGCGGTTTAAACTGTGGCTGATTTGAGAAGCAAAACTGCGCATTAGTGACATTGTGTGGTAGAAGAGAGGAAAAACAGCAACAAGAGGATAAGAGCTTTCTGTGCAGTCTTATTTATAAAAATTGCCGATTTATTAGATTAGATTAGATTAGATTCAACTTTATCGTCATTACACATGTACAAGTACAATGCAACGAAATGCAGTTTAGGTCTAACCAGCAGTGGAATAGCAGCAAGTGCAGGATACAGGAATAAGTTACAAAGTGCAGTTATAGAAAACTATACTGATATTTACAGATGGATGTACTATGAACATTATATACAGGTTGGATAAGCTATGAACCGATTTACAATATATGAATATTTGTGCAGGTTGCTATCAATAATCAGTAGTGTGCAGATAGATAAACATGATTACAAGTGTATATGTTACAATATATGAATATATGTACAGGGATAAATAAACATGATTACAAGTGTATATGTAACAATATATGAATATATGTACAGGTTGCTATTAATAATCAGTAGTATGCAGATAAATAAGCATGATTACAAGTGTATATGTATAGTGGGTGTGTACATAATTACAAATGCCCATATGCAGTGGGTATGCACAGTTCAATAAGTAAACAGTTCAATGTGGTGCAGTGAATGTGCAAATTTTAAATGTGCAAATGTTAAACAGTGCAGTTATTGCGAGGAGTTTAAGTTAGAGGAGAGTGGGGGGTATATTGGGGGGGGGGTGGGGCAAAAGAGTCAGTGGGGGGCAAAAGAGTGGCCACAATTTAATTTATGTTTATTTCTATAGCGCTTTTATAATATTGTTTCAAAGCAGCTTAACATAGAAGTTCTAGTGAATTGAAACTGTGCCAGTCCAGTTCAGTTGAGTTCAGTGTGGCTTAATTTTCACTGCTGAAAGTTCAAACACTGAAGAGCAAATCTATCGAAGTGTAGCTCCACAAGTCCCAAACCAAGCAAGCCTGTAGCTTTACCAATTGACGAAAGTGAAGAAGAAAAATAAAAAAAAACCTAAGAGAAACCAGGCTCAGTTGGGCATGACCATTTCTCTTCTGGCTGAACTTTTAGTGCAGAGCTGCAGTCTAAGCGCTGGAGGCTGAAGAATGCTGGACGTCTATTGTGGAGAAGCTGCAGGTGTGAGTAGATCACTGGTGGGTGTTCAGGCTGGCCCACAGGATTAATGCGGAGACTCGTCTGTCACTGGGGTCTTTCAGGAATCAGTCTCACGCTCTCCACTCCTCCATGACCTGTCACCTAAACTCTGAAACAGCCTTCCTAGCACAATTCGGATGGCAGACACACTCGGTGGCATACTCGATGGCATACTCGTCGTTTAAAACTAGATCAAAGACACCACTCTTTCATTAGCATATACACAAAACACAAAAGCTTTAGAAATCCAAATCCTCTAAAGGATTGTAAGTCAGGATTTTTTTAGGGTAACCGGAGCTGGGAACGCTTCCCTAAAGACATCATTTAAACCGCATCTGCAATTTTGTTAGTCTGTTTTTATTATTCCCGAGGTCTCCATAATCCTGGACCAGGCCGTATCCTGAGCAGCTGCTCTGGTGGTCATGGAGGAGTGGAGAGCATGAAAGTGATCCCTGTAAGACCCTAGCGACAGCCGAGACTTCGCATTAAGCCTGAAGGGCCAGTCTGGACACCAGCTGATGACCTCTCTTATTGCAGCTTCTCCACGATAGACGTCTAGCGTTCTCCAGCCTACGGTGCATAGACTGCAGCTCTGCACAAGATGTTTGACCATAGGCGAAATGGTTGTGCCCCACTGAGCCTGGTTTCTCTTAAGGTTTTTTAATCCTTTACTTTCGTCAATTGGTGAAGTTTGTTTCTCGCTACTGTCGGCACTGGCTTGCTTGGTTTGGGACTTGTGGTGCTTCGCATCAATTGATTTGCTCTTCAGTGGTTGGACTTTCAACAGTGAAAATTAAACCACACTGAACTGAATTAAACTGAACTTAAACTTTAAAAACTGGAGAGCACTGTAGAAACAGAGATAAATTGAATTGAATGTCCGCCACAGCATCTGCTCAGGATACGGCCTGGTCCAAGATTATGGATACCTCTAGAAGTCCTCTATGGTTGGTCTCATCTCAAAACAAGAGGACTATCAGGTTAACAATGATAATGATGACAAAGTCATATTGCAAAATCAATGATATTTATTCATATTCTGTCAGTAACCCACAGCACGAAAGCAAGAATAAAAGACAACGAAAACAAACAAACAAATAGAAGAATGCCACATCCACGGACAACGCTGCAGCGGGAAACATGAGCTCTTTGAACATTTCATCCCTGACATCAGATGATAAATCCTGAGAGTCAAGAAAGTCCTGCGTGTCCAATAAGAGATGATGCAGCGAGCATGAACAACAAAAAAAGCGAACCATTATTTCATGAATGGCATTTCCTAGCAGAAAGTGATCCCATCTGTCAAGAACCGAGAAGTGAAAAACTACCATGCCTCGTCTTTGTGAGATGATGTGCGGAGAAGCCATGTGACACATTACAGAGCAATCATGCAGTCGAGTGTCGAATGAAGTGTGATAAGGCAAAGTTCACAGACATCTCTCCTTAGTTCACATAGACCTGGCTGAATATTGCAGAGTAAAACATTCTGGGTCCTTAGTTTTTCAGCTCTTATTAAGCAACATTTGCAGAAAAAGCTACTGTAAACAACGCACTGAGCATTCAGGTCTATGTAACACAGAAGCAAAACACACACACACGCACGCACAAAAGCTCTGAAGATACATTTCAAATTTTCGGTGTTCGCGAACATCATCAACAACGTAACGAAAAAGCAAGCACGATGTGCATACAACACAATAAAACACTTTGGTTGCAGAGACAACTGTCGTACAACACAAATCAAACCGATTCTGAAATCAACTATGTACAACGAAAGAACGTGAAATAGGCAAAATAAAAACTCTTAAACCGCTTATTCAGGAATCAATTGCACAATATACACAAACATACAACAGTCCCATCTCTCTGTAATTAGTCGTTTTGAAAACTTGTCACGTGATGAATGTTAACCACAGCAAACAGGTCCAGATATGGTTGAGACATCATGTTTTTAACATTGAATATTTTATATATTCGATTCATTTATGGTTTTGATAAATCTCGAAAATAACCTTTGAGTTCACCCTAAAACTAAATATAATGGTTCAATTGATAGCAAGTAGAAAATAATACAAAATAATAATAATAAAAACATTATTTCTGGAGAAATATTACATTGAAATTGGAGAGTTTCTAGTTGCACACAGTCGATTAGAAACTTTTCAGACCATTTAAAAAAAAAGTCACTATTATTTCTGATCGATAATAGTGTGATAGCTTGTAATGTTAGTAGAAAAGTAAAAAAATATTTTCAAAAAATTGATTTTGGAGGGGAACAAAAGCAAAGGAAAATAATTTTGTAGTTGCACATAGTGGAATAAAAGGGATCTTAAAAAATATTAGAATTCTAATCAATATTAGTGTGATAGTCAGTGATGCCAGAATAAAAAAGTAAAATGTTTTGGAGGAAAGAAATGGAATAAATGGTTCCGACCAGTAATAAAAATAAAAGCCAGTGATCCCAGCAGACTACAATAAAATAAAACAAATAAATAAAAACATTTATTTATAGAAATAAACTTGATTTGAAACAAAGAAAACGATAGTTAACTGATTTCCATCAAAGATATTCTCCACACGCAAAAAATGCTTTTCTTACTTTTTTTGTCTTTTTTTAGTCCAAATATCTAAAAATTCTTAAATCAAAAAGCATTTCTAGGCAAGCAAAACAATGTCTTGTTTTCAGAAATAATGTGTCAAAATTAGGTGAGTTTTTCCTTAAAACAAGCAAAATAAACTGCCAACGGAGTAAGCAAAATTCATATGTCAAAAGGAAAAACAAGATTATTTTTCTTACACCATTGGCAGATTATTTTGCTTGTTTTAAGAAAAAAATTACTTAATATTGACACATTATTTCCTAAAACAAGACAATATATTTTGCTTGATTTAAGAATTTTTAGACATTTGGACTAGAAACAAGACAAAAAGTAAGAGATTATAATTTAAGTAAGAAAATTTTTTTTTGCAGTGTGATTTCTTTCTTTCAAACATCTTCACTAAACGAGATTCAAGACATTATCTTATTTTTCCAATCACCACACAGTGCAAACACCAAGCAGACATTTTATCTAGCATACTTTAATCATAGCTCTCTTTAAAAAAAGAAACGAAAAAAAAAAAAAAAAAAGAGATCCATGGTAGCTAAAACACCCTACTCTAAACAGCAAACCGAGATGAAGACAGCAAAAAGGTCCACTACTCTATTAGAACAAGAACAGATAGTATATTTGTCTATATTTCTTTATCATCTGTATTTACAAGAATCTTAACTGCTCTTTTATGCCGTCCAAAGCTGCGAGTAACGTCTACTTACTCTCAAGAGGGAAATAAACATTAAAGGGGAAATTAGAGATCACTTCAAATCCTTCTGATCGCTAAAGTTAAAACGTGTACCATCGTCCCTGATAATGCTTCAAGTTGTTTTTTAGGGTCCACTTTTTGAAAAATGTCCTTTTAAGGCAAAGAGAATGGGAATGCTGGAAGTCCTCAAATAAGCAGAGAGCGTGTCTTTCTTTCTTAAGATTTGAGGTAACGACTGTCGAAGAGGTTTTGATATTTTTAGTGGAATAAATTGATCTTTTTTTTAAGAAGGGGGGATTCGTTCAGTCTCTGTAAACCCCTTGTCATTATTGGCACCCACCTATGTACAGACTATAAGATCTCCTCCACGCCATGAGCGAAGATCATAACCAAACCTGGCTCCAGAATCATATCTTCCCCCATGTGCTGGTTCTCGCAGGCCATCACCACCACCGCTTGTTTCCCCGGGATGCGTTTGGCTACATAGTTTTCATAGTAACGACGGTTCATCTGCCGCGTCTCCAGCGTGGCCAAACCTTGAGGCCAGTTCCGCTCATGGGCGTTTTCGATGAGGTCGTTGACGATGGACAGCGGACATCCACTGTCGATTAGCGAGCGCTTGATGACAGCCTGCAGGACGGCGTCAGGTGTGGAGATCATTCCTCCCCAGCGGGTCACGCGTGCGGGCTGCAGAGAATTCACCCACCTGTGGATAAAACAGTAAAGTCAGATTGACTCATGAACCCCCAGTGCTGGGAAATACCCATAAACAATCTCTTGTTCACAAACAAACACTACGGTCAATTTAGCTTAGCCAATTAACCTAAACCTCATGTCTTTGGTTTGGACCATGGGGTTCCAGTCTATTTATTTGCTTATATAAATATATAGTTGAAGTCAGAATTATTAGCCACATGTTTAGAAGTGTCCTGAAAAACGTCTAAAATAATATTTACTGTCATCATGGCGAAGATAAAATAAACTGGTTATTATAAATGAGTTTTTAAAACTATTATGTTTAGAAATGTGTTTAGAAAATCTTCTCTCCATTACACAGAAATTGGGGGAAAAAATAAACATAATGGCTAATAATTCAAGGGGGCTAATAATTCTGACTTCAACTGTATATTTGTTCTGTTTTATATTAATTTCAGTAATTTTATTGACTAATATTTAAATGCCTCCCCCTGCATCCCATGCCTTTGTATGCTCATCACACCCGGTGTGGGTAGGCGGGTCTGTGACCAGCACTCTCTAGTAGCAGGACCAGATGGCGGTAGCCTATATCATACTATCTCCACATCCCCTGTTGTGCTGTTATGTCTATGTGTTTACTTGCTTGTTTCTGGGACTTTTCCCCCCCTGAACTCACACTGCCCTACTTCAAAGACAGTCATGGGCGCAAGGGATTTTTTCCCCTTTTTCCTCCCTTTTCCCCAATGTATCTTATTTCCTATTTCCTATGCTACCTCTTGTTTGTCCTGTCTTCTTCTGAAATGTGTGATGTTTGTGTATGCTCGGAGAGGTCCAATTTCACTGCATGTAAAAGTGTATGTGACAAATAAAGGCTTTCTTCACCATCATCATCATCATCATGTTTGTATGATTTATTTACAACACCGTTTGTAAAGTAATATTTTCTGCCTGTTAGTACAGTGTTTCTCAACCATGTTCCTGGAGGACCACCAACACTGCATGTTTTGGATGTCTCCTTTGTCCATCACACCCATTACAGGTCTTTCAAGTCTCAGCTATTGAGCTGATGATCTGAATCAGCTCTGTTTAGTTAGGGATAGATGGAATATGTGCAGAGCTGGTGGTCCTCCAAGAATGTGGTTGAGAAACACTGCTTTAGTAGAACAAACAAATTGATTGATTCATTCATTTTCCTTCAGCTTACTCCACGCACCTGAACCAGGTAATCAAGCTCTTACTAGATGTACTAGAAACTTCCTGGCAGGTGTGTTGAAGCAAGTTGGAAATAAACTCTCCAGGACCGAGTTTGGACACCCCTGGCGTAGTCCTTTATTTATTAGGGGTCGCCACAATGGAATGAACCGCCAACTTATCCAGCATATATTTTACACCTCGGATGCCCTTCCGGCTGCTAACCCAGTACTGGGAAACACCCACACACTCTCACATGCACACTCACATACTACGGACAATTTAGCTTAACCAATTCACCCATAGCGCACGTCTTTGGACTGTGCGGGAAAGCGGAGCATTGAGTCTATTCATTTACTTTTTTAAATGTGTAAATATATATTTAGTTACATTTTTATAATAATTTCAGTAATTTTATCAAATGATATTCAAATGTGTGTATGATTTATGTACAATACAGTTAAAGTAACATTTTCTGTCTTTAGGGCAGTGTTTCTTAACCACGTTCCTTGATGACCACCAACACTGCATGTTTTGGATGTCTCCTTTGTCTGGCAAACCCATTACAGGTCTTTCAAGTCTCAGCTATTGAGCTGATGATCTGAATCAGCTCTGTTTAGTTAGGGATAGATGGAATATGTGCAGAGCTGGTGGTCCTCCAGGAACATGGTTGAGACAGTGTTTTAGTCGATATATGAGAGACAAACAAATGGATCTGCATGGATTTGCATGGTAAACAAACAAAATGTTTTAATTTATTAGTTATTATACTAAGAATTATTATGCACAAATCCACAATTTTTTTTTTTACAAAATTCTGCACAGAAATATCAATTCATGTCTGCAGATTCTGTTTGGCCCTGCTTATAAGTCAAATACTTAAACGTCTTGAAGTCTTACAAAGCAAATTGATTGTTCTGTGCAACTAACTGAATGTTGTTTATCACTTTATTACCTGTTATTCAAAGACTAGACAAACAATTCTGACCAAGTACACTAAAGTGCGCTTTATTCGCTGGGGCTTCATCAAAAGATACCAACTACGTCAGTTCATGTGTGATTTCACAGGAGTGAATAGATCAATATGCAGTGTAGTACTTGAACACAATTGACCATACAGTGATCTGACTCTTTTATTGAAAGATCAAAGATGATAGGTAGAAATACTGATTTGTGATTATGTGTATGTGTGGCAGGGGTTAATTTGTGATTTGCAACAAAAAACATATAATTATTAAATGATTAAATATGGAGTAAACAGTTTTGAAAATAATTCTCTTCTATTTGCTCTTAGATTTATATTTGCTCCATCTCTTACTCTCACATTGACAAACTTTATAAAAGGTTCAACAATCTGTCGAAATCTGAGTTTTCTGCGGGCGCATATTCCATGTGGACCTACTGATAACTTATTTATGTGCTCATTATGTACATAGTAAACTGATGTTTTTATCTACAGCAGAATACAACCAACTTATAAATACTAATACCATTCATTAAGGGGCAATATTTGAACAGTAAAATCGATTTCGAAAATGTTTTCCTCTCATATAAGCATTTTTTTATTTTTTTATTACCTCATGTCAAACAAAATATTATATTATATGTCAGAATATTATAAACTATTACAAAAAATATTTAAAACTACATGCAACTTAAATTTTAATTGAACTAATTTCAAGATAAGGCTGCAATATTACAACAAACTAATTATTGTTGACTATTGCCCTTAACATTTTAATAATGATTATTAAAGACAATTAAAAGTTTACAAAACATCTAGAAAAACAGCATACCATGGGCAAGACAGTCTGCAAACAAACAAAACATCCAAACCTAGTCTAGTAAGTCTAGTCTATGTCATGCAAAAACTTCTGTTATGATCACTGAAGCTGCTAAATTAATTGGTTAAACTGTTTCAGAACATTTTTTGTTCATAATGACAAGTCACAAGAAAGGTGACTTATGAAAAAAACAAAAACATGGACAGGTTGAACAAGCTCACGTTTTTCACATTTCACTGTAATTGCAGGAATTGTTTAGTTGCATTATGCTTTTTTTAATAAGCTTAAATGGCCTTTCTTATTTCTAAATACAGAACAGAAGACTTACTCAAGGATCTCATTGTACTCTATGCTCTCCTCCAGGTTCTGTAAATTTGGGTTAGCGCTGCGTATTGCTCGCATGTACGCTTTCAGGAGCTGGATGTCACGTTTCTGAAAAACAGACATGCATTTTTAAAAAAGGGTTCCCACTCTTTCATGAACAGCAGATTCAAGGACTTTTTAAAGCACAATCATTTTCAAATGAAGCACCTTTTTAGCTCCCCCAGCATATGTAGCACCATGAAAGTCCTTTCTGTACTTAACATTTCACTTACACTTTATATTTACATTAAAAATTCAATGAGTAATGACGATGTTTTGAATGTGTCATTTTCAAAAATGTTGACCATTTTAAACAGTCATGTTCAAAGAACTGGTCACACTTTACAATAAGGTTTCATTAGTTAATGTATTTACTAACATGAACTAAGTGTGAACAATACTTGTACAGCATTTATTAATCATAGATCAACATTTACTAGTGCATTATTGAGATCTAAAGTTATGCTTGTTAACATTAGTTAATGCACCATGAGCTAACAAGTACCAACAATGAACAACTATATTTTCTTTAACTAATGTTATTTATCATGAACAAATACTATATTAAATGCATAGGTCATTGTTTGTTCATGTCAGTAAATGCATTAACTAACATTAACAACTTTATTGTAAAATGTTACCAAAGAACTGCTAATATTCAAATGTGGTTTCTGAAATATTGATAAAATGTGCATGACTTATTTCTTGTACAAGATTTAAATTTAAGATTTTTAAATGACGAATTGATCATTTTTAGCTCCGTTTTTAACAGAAGCACAATACTACAATTAAAATAACACTTTTAACATTAAATTCAAGCACTTTCAAGGACTTATGTTTGTTTAATAACCCATTTCCCCTGAGTGTTATAGTACAGTTCGGAACGCTTGTATGGCTGTTTCCCCAGTTAAAATGTACCAAAAAGTGAACCGTCCCGTACCACTTTTTGGGTACGCTTTCAAAAGTGTACCTAGCACAACAAAAGGGTACCAAAAGGCAGAGCTAGATGCGCAGCTAAATGCTATTGGTTTACAGAGAAGCATCACTAGCGCGTACACAAGCCAGGACAATAAAAACAAAGAAAGCCGCATTTTTTAATACACAGCTGAGACATTACATCGCAATAATATTTACATATAATAACGAGCCATGGTTGACCAGAGTTCAAACAAACTTGGTCATCATCTTGATGAACAGCCACAAAGCAAAGAAGAACAAAATCTGCCGTGTCCTGTTTTTGTTTTACGAGGCCGCCTAAAAGCATGTGACGTTTCCCTGTCTCCAGAGACCCCGCGTGCACATACTGCGCGTCTCAATTTGAAATAATTAACTTCTTTAGCTGATAATAATATCGTGTGCTTGATTATCGAAGTGCTTCTTACATCCGATCCTTTCAGAAATAGACAAACGCAAGAGGGAAGCGTGAAAAAACAAAGGAGCAAATGATTCTTTAAGTAACCTAAACCATGAACAAACTACCATGTTTAACTATTATCATCAACTTTTGGACTATTATGAACTCAGAACGACTATGTGCTGGTAAAGATTAAAGATGCAGATGAGAGGTTTGGGCTGACTGTGAGATGTAAGTTGCGCGTTTTTGAACCCAAATATGGACTTAATGTATGCTGTGTGCAGTTTTTCTGTAATTGGTAACATATCGGAGACTGTAAGGGACTGTATGTGTTCATATATGTTGCATTTATTTATTTCATATGTCACTGATCAGCAGTTATAATCAAATCATGTTCATAGAAAGGTTAGTAATGAACATTTATACACAAGTATTCTTGAGTATAAAGCATCTATTTTGTGAGAAGTGCTTCTCATATGATATGTGAACAACCCGTACAGCTTTTCTTTGACATTTCCACAAGTGAGAATGATGTCGACTGAAACTTTCTGTCATACACCATGCCCACCAAATTGGTACCCTTTTGTCAGTGGAAACACAAGCCTAATAAAGGTGACCCGTACTGTACTGTACCACTCTTTCAAAACGAGCCCTACTGTCCAAGCCTTGAATCCATATGTTTGAAATTCAAGTACTTTCAAGACATGTGGGAACTCTGGTGTTTGCTGAACAGAAGTGAGGATCCAAAATAAATGCCATGACATTGACACCTAGGCAGCTTCATGATAAGGTATAAAATACACAGGTCAGACCTGTTCTGCAAGTTGGTGCTTGTGTTCCGCTGCAGTTTTCTCCAGATCTGCAATTTTGGTCTGCTGTTGCTGCACCACACTGCGAAGGTGCTTAATACAGTTATGATTGGGCATCTCATCTTTGGGCATTTCTAGCCTGCAGACCAATAACAGACAAAAAAGTAGGTGTGATTAAAATGTCAAACAAACCCTAAAGACAATTATCTGCCATTGACACATTAAAAAAACTGTGAAACACAGAGCTGAAACCCTCCACACTGGTGCAGCACATTTTTTCCTAGAAACAATTAAAATGCAACACATTCTACTCCTAAAGATTGCTGTGGGTTAGTAAGTGAGAAAACAAAGATAAAGACAGTGGTTCATGACCTACCCGCAGCCTTCCTCACACGTGACAGGCCGTTTGGGGTTGTGCTCGCAGTCTTTGAGGTGCGACTGCAGCTGGTCGAGGCGAAGGGTGGCCGTGCAGCCGAAGCCGGCGTTATCACATGAGATCTGCAGCTTGGAGAGCATGTTGCGCATGATGCGGGGGACGGGGCGAAGGTGTGCGAGAGTCACCACGGTGCGGTCCACAGGGCAGATCTGCTGCTGCGCAAACCACTGCGTGATGCAGGCGTTACAGAAGGCATGCTCACAGTGCGGGGCCTGAGACAACACACAACACACAGATTGATCAGGATGTAACTTGAACTCGGTGTGCATTGACTTTTACAGCCAACTGATGTGCCTTTAGCTGTGTAAATGTATTCATATTACATATACAGTTGCAGTCAGAATTGTTAGCCCCTCTGTATATATTTTCCACCAATTTCTGATTAACAGAAAGTTTTTTTTTCAACACATTTAATAACTCATTTCTAATAACTGATTTCTTTTATCTTTGCCATGATGACAGTAAATAATATTTACTAGATATTTTTTCAAGACACTAGTATTCAGCTTAAAGTGCAAGTGCAATTCAAAGGCTTTACTAGGTTAATTGGATTATTTAGGCAAAACCTTGTACAACAATGGTTTGTTCTGTAGACAATCAAAAAAAAAATAAATAAAAACAAATAAATATATATATATATATATATATATATATATATATATATATATCTATATATATATATATATATATATATATATATATATATATATATATACACACACACACGCACGCACGCACGCATACGGCGCAAAAGGGGCTATTTTAAACTTTAAAATGGCTTTAAAAAAACTGCTTTCTTTAAACATAATTTGGGAAATATTTGACAAAGAAAAAAAATTATAGGAGGGCTAATCATTTTGATTTCAATTGTATATACAAGCATTACTATTATTATTCATACTAATAATAGCAACAACAATAATAAAAATATAGCTGCAAGCAGCAATTAACGGGGGTCAAGCTGTTTAGCAGGATAAGGTCATACAGCAGTTAGGACGCCTGTAAGTAGTTTATTCGACAACGAAATATACGATTAGAGTGTTAGAGTTTATAGATTGAGCTAACAAATGTTTGATTAAACACTCCAGAGAAGCAACTTCGATTTTTACATATTGACAAATTTTTAATGAACAATTCGAGTGACCGCTTTTATGTCAAAGTGACCAGTATAAGCAGCCCTATGATATAATGTGTAGATCGAGTCATGGCACCTTAGACAAAGACACGGCATGTCAAATTTTAAGTTAATCAGATAAATGGTTACTCAGATACAGTGATTTTACAATGTATAGCACCACCATGTGGCCAATGTCTACGAATTTCATGCTATGACCTCTGATTAACCTCTTGCATATGTGTAACAAGTTTGATGTAGATATTTCAATCCATTCATGAGTTATGGCTATTTTAGCTCTTCTTGAAATGAAAATGACAAAACTATATCACTATATAAACTAATAATTTTGTGTTTTATTAAAAGAATTTAAAAATCTACAGAGTAAAAGGTGTGACAAGCTTTGACAAAATTTAATCTTAAATGCATTAACTGTGTTCAGTTCATGTCAATTTGGGATTCAGAATGCATTACATAACATTACATTACATTCTTTGCTATAGAGCAGTAAAATAAACATCAAGTGCTCTGTTACTGCCATCTAGTTGCCACAGTTGTGATTTTCTTTACACATGTTTTAAAACAAGGTGTTTAATTATAGAACCAGTTTAGCCTATAAGAATTATTACACAGAGGTTAACTGTGTCCAAATTAGATGTTTAATGCATAGCAGTGTTTAAATCAGGTCAAAATGTGATTCAGAATGATCCTAAATGCAATTTCCCTGACTGTAAACTCAAAAAAATGTAGAACAACAAAGGTATGCAAATATTATGAACAATAAATAAGTGGTCTTGTTGTGACATCTAGTGGTTAGAAATGGTAGGTGACAGTTAAAAGTCTGTGTTATAGTGGCAAAAATGATAGAATACTGAAAATATGTGTTTTTGAGACCTTTAAACATCCAAGATGGGCAAAAAAACAACAACTTGTAAATCATTTCAGTGATAGGTGTGTAAATGAAGCACATTTACTGCATTTTTAAGCCATTTTATGATGTTTTTAGAACCATTTCTATCATTATAGCGCCACCTATTGCCCGATCACCACAAAATTTTGCATGTTTTTTCACATTTATATGGCACATGAGCTCATCAATTTCTGTGATGTTTTGGGTTTTCCTTATTGGTTTACAGGCATGTAGGTTCGTGTAGACATGCCCCTTTTGAAAATAAGCCTGTTACAGCTATCTAAAATGGAAAGTTCAACTTTTTTTGATAATTATTGATCTACTCAGTCCAGAGGTTCATTTAACACTGGTTTCGTTGCGATTTAACTAAAAATCAGGGACTAGTTCGCAAAAGTATGTTTTGTACATATTGATGTTTTTTTAATGATCGGTGTGAGTGACAGCAGTGGGTTTAGTGTCAAACTGTTCAGTATGAGCAGACCTATCATTTGATATGTAGATTAAGTGTTTTTGTGAAATAGTGTTTAAATGAAGCACATTTACTTTATTTTTAAGCCATTTGGCATGTTTTTAAGACTATTTTTGCTATTATAGCACCATCTATGGTTTGATCTTCACAAAATTTTGCAAGTTTCTTCTCATTGATATGGCACATGTGCTCACCAATTTCTGTGATGTTGTGAGTTTTCCTTATTGGTTTACAGGCATGTAGGTTCGTGTGGACACGCCCCTTTTGTAAATTAGCCTGTTACAGCTAGCCAAAGTGAAAAGTTCAACTTTTTTTTGATAATTATTGATCTACACAGTCCAGAGATTCTAACAACACTCGTTTTGTTGCGATTGAACTAAAAACCAGGGACTAGTTCGCAAAAGTAGGTTTTTCCTATATTGATGCATATTTAACGAACGGTGTGACTGACAGCAGTGGTTTTAGTGTCAAACTGTTCGGTATGAGCAGGCCTATCATATGATATGTATTTTGTGTGGTTTTGCAAAAGGTTGTGTGATACACAACCCATTACATCTTAAAATTGCGTAAAATCGCCCCCTAGTGGCCGATTTCTTTCAAAATTCTTACAGTCCTCTAGGTCCATAAGTCGAACATACCCAGCGAGTTTCGTTCCGATCGCTCATCGTTAACCTTGCTAAATGGCTGCACAATTTTAATTGGCTAATGGCGGCCATGTTTTTTGAGATGTGTCATTGTCCTTATAATATGTCATGGCAAACTGGTCAAAGACACTGCATGCCAAATTTCAAGCTGATCGGACTAACGGTTGTAAGGTTAGGGTCATTTTATGGTTTTTAAGCTTTATAGCGCCACCATGTGGCCAAAGTATGCTGTTTTAGCACTGTCACATCAAATTGAGCTTATGCATGTGTGTACCAAGTTTGGTGATGATATCTCATTCCGTTCAAAAGTTATAGCTCCAATTAGCATTTAGCTTCAATTAGCATCGAACATTGTTGTGTACTGTTTCGAGTGAGAATAAAAATGTCAACTTTTTTTTGATAATTATTGATATTCAGTGTCCAGAGAACATTTGAGAGCTGGTTTGGTTTAGATTGAGTGAAAAACCTAGGACTAGTTCGCAAAAGTAGGTTTCGGACAAATGGCGATGTAGCGGGGAAACGGTGCGTCGTAGAGAAAAAAGTTCTGTTATACACTTTTGTTCAGGTTAACCCAAGGATTCAAAAAATGTAAAGTTTTTGAGTCTACGACAAACGGTGAACGTATAGCGGCAAAAAATGTCCAAAAAGTGTTTTTTTGGCACCATAGCGCCACCTATGGTCTGATTTGGCTGATCTTTGGCCAGAACGTAGTGTACCGGGGTACTACCATCTGGCCAAGTTTCAGCTCTCTCGGCCTTACGGTTTGGTCTGGGCAATAGTGACTTCGGCAGAATAATAATAATAATAATAATAATAAAAATCTTAACAAAAACAATAGGGTTTCAGCGCTTCGCGCTTGACCCCCTAATAATAATAGAAAAAAGTAACAACCATGTTTTTTGTACACTAAATTACAAAAAAATTTAGTGAAATACAAAAAAATTATAATATATATAAATTATGTATATGCACACACGCACTTACATGTGTAAATTAATGACAATTGGTAAAAATAAAGTTTTCATTTAATGTCAATACAATGTTTAAATATTTAAGTTAACATACAGAACATTGCTACTGTGTTTTAAAAATATAATTTTAAAAAATGCTTAACAGAGCTAATAATATTGACATTAAATGGGTTTTAAAAAATTTAACTGTTTTTATTGAAGCTGAAATAAAACAAACTTTCTTCAGAAGAAAAAATATTATAGGAAATACTGTGAACAATTTCTTGAAAAATTTAAAGGAGGGGTAATAATTTTGACTTCAACTGTATGTATGTATTATTATAATTATAATTATTATTATTACTAATAATAGCAAAAACAATTATAAAAATAATAGAAGAAAAAAAACTACCATGTTTTTTTACACTTAATTACAGAAGACAACTATTAAATTTCATTCAGAGTAACAATAGTTCATATAAACCAACAATTGTCATGTATCCCTGACAAGATGTGCATGACATTCACAGCTTTTGCAAAAGTGCGATTTCATTTTGATTTATATGATTCAATTTTTATTGTCAGAATGTTTAAACATTGTTACGACATATAAAATTTATATCCTATATAAAAAAACACACCACACGTGCGAGTTAAAACATAGGTATGGTGTCTTATAAATATGAATTTAGAAATATATATTTTTGTTATTTTGACCAATTGACATTTTGCCTTCTACATGACAAAAAAATTACTAAATTCTTAAATGTAGAAAACAAAAGTCTTTAGCAGTTACTCAAAAACATAACAATAAACTGTAAATCCAGAGAAGCAGAATTTTCTAATAGGGTATACGCACAGATTGTGTTTCTTTCTATACCGATACTGTTTCTTCCCATTCCCATACCATTTCTTCCCAAAGCTCTTTCTGATACTGATAAACTTCCGGTGAACAGTTAATGTGACTCTTTTCCATTTTAAAAGGTTCCTTTTACAGCATTGATGTTGTAATGTTATTAAAAAACAATCAGCTGAATAGACCTCAGTGTTCAAGCGTAAAACAAGATGAAAAGTCGTTTACACGCATGCGGCTGTCAGGAAAATATACTGTGATAAAATAAATGTTCAATTCTTAAAGACATGGCGGAGAAAAAATGTAATTTAATGCAGTTCTTCTTGTACATTCTGAGACCACTTTATATTGTATATCAATCAAGCAATAAAGATTGATTTTTAAAGAAAACAGACCTTAAACATGCCAATTTTGTAACTGCATACAGTTCACTGCAAGTACTCATAAATTAAAAGTCCTTCCACATACTTCTGCATATAACCTATTGTCTCTTATTAAGAAATTCATACAAATAGTTATATAAAAATACAATGTGTGTGAACAAGTATTTATCTGGTATAGCCTAGATTTGGCCACTTGCCCCATCACCGGCAGTTTTTACAGAAAAACAACTCCCTTGTGAAACTCATTTGCTCAATGGTCTCAGAGAAATGATACGCGAGAACCACAAACCCATAATGACACGACAGAGGTCGAGCCTCTGACACTATTCTCAAGGTGTTCTAGGATGTTGAATGAAAACAAATGCAGACCTGCACTGGCTCCTCCAGCACCCCGCTGCAGATGGGACATAACAGATCCTCGTCCACCTCTCCTTGGAACCTGGTGACGTCGTACCCCATGGCACATTACCAGAACCCTTTGATATCTGAAATGAAACAAGCAAGAGGAGTGTGTCATGAGAACGATACGCTCAGCTGCCCGCCAGATCCCCTGCCGCAGAAATGCATGAGAAGAACTGGATGTACAACAAAACGAAATTGAAAACTTCTAGCATTTGTGGGCTATTTTTCAGCCAACACCAAAAATAGCACAAGAACTGCAAGAAAGTGTGGGCCTTAAAAACATTGAAACCAAAGCAGCATCTTTTATTTATTTAATAGAAATTTAAAGTTTAAGACCCTCTAGGCAAAACAGATTTATTCCTGCACCTGTCATTCATCTCACTTTATCAATTTGTGTTTGTAGATTTCAATTACAATATATATTTTAAAAGGTGGTTTTCACAAAATGAGTTTTTATTTCTCCTGCACTGAGACGTAAATCTACACGTTAGTAGTATTTACATAATCCAATCTTCATTATTCTTACCTATATTCTGAAGATTCCTACAGAGATATGTTCATACATCATGTGCCGACTATATACATATATACTGTATAGCGCTGGGCAATAAAAACAGTATCAGTATTTATTGACAGAACAACATTGTCAACAACGATAAAAAAGATTTTTAAAAATTGGTATGAAGTGTAGGTAAGAAACGCTAATAGTTTTATTAAAATGGGGCTGCTGATTACACGCCTAGGAAAGAATGCCAGTAAGCTTAGGGTGCAAGTTTCTCATTTCTAATTAATGCCGCGAGCACACAGCGATTCGTGTAAGTAGAACTAACAAATCTGCTTCACACTTTATATGGAATATACACATTTCAGTAATAATGGTAGACTAATTACCTCAGACAAACAGAGGTCATCCAAACACTGCAGTGCTTTTTACTTTTCTCCATAATTTTGTATCGGAGTGGCAGCAATGATCTGTCTGTTTGTCATCCTCTAAGAAAACGGCTGATGGTCGCCTAGTTACATAAAGACTAGGCAGTAGAGCACAAGCGCAGAGCACAAAGCCCATTGAAAATGGTGAGGGAAACCACACGTTCACAGTTTTTTTCATTTGTGAGTTTTGGGTTGTCTGCCACATCAGGTCAGAATAACAACATATGCAAAAATGAGTGCCGTATAACAGCAGTGAGGAGATTGTAAATAAAAAAAAGAATGTAAGGATGTCTCCAGATTGGCTTTTTGGTTTCTTTTCTTGTGCGTCCCAGCCACCAGCACCTCACCTGACAGAATTCTTTAGCATAGTGCAGGGGTCACCAATCCTGGTCCTGGAGGGCCGGTGTCCCTGCAGGAATTAGCTCCAACTTGCCTCAACACACCTGCCTGGATGTTTCAAGTATTCCAAGAAAGACCTTGATTAGCTTGTTCAGGTGTGTTTGATTAGGGTTGGAGCTAAAATCTGCAGGACACCGGCCCTCCAGGAACAAGTTTGGTGACCACTGGCATAGTGGATAATGTAGTCATACAGCTTTTTTTTATAATAATCCCACTGTTTTTAATGTTGTAATATATATTTGAATAATGATGGTTAGTTTGTTTACTTGAAAGCTCAGATTTGATTATCATGATTAGTTTTGTGTACAGAGTTTAAGATTTGTTCTTTGCGTTTACTTTACCATTGCACACACTTCATAACATTTTCTTCAAGTTTAGGAGTCTCTTTAACACTTATGTGTATTTTGTTATGAAGAGATTATATATGTTTGTTTAAATATTTTAGTTTTTGCCTATTAAAACTAGTTACCTTGGCAATGTTGGTAAATTAATATAAAGTGGTTAAAGTTATATAAAGTTAAATCCTAAGACTCTTAAATGGATTGTTAACAAATTTTCAATAATTATCGATACAAAATAATATTAAACATGATATCTTAATAATGTTTTTGCTGCATTTCCCAGCCCTATTACACACAATCAGGGCCGGAGTGGGACTCCTTTTCAGCCCTGGAGTTTCAAGCCTCAGACCGGCTCACCTCAGTTCACGACTGACTATATTAAAATAAGGTCATTTCCAATTCAGTTTCTAATTAACTATCATGTCATTTTTTGAGAAAACAGCTGCTTTATAACTTAAAATGTTCAACAACCCTAACAGTATTAAATGTCTTAACAATAAAAAAATATATATATATATCATACTCAGACCAAACCCGGGTCGGCGGCGTCGTACTCTAACGTGCTATCCACTGGACCACAAGAGCTGTACGTTGTAGAGTGACTCATCTGAGTTTTATCATCATTAACCTGCAGGCTGGTCATATATAAAAAGAGCAGAGCTGCGCTAAAATAATGAATAAGAAGACTGTGGTCAAGTAAATAAATAAATTAATTTAAAAAGTGTGACTGCTGAGAGCAACAGATTCTGGAGCTAGGGACACCGGCCCTCGCGGCCAAAAAACGGACCGGCCCACCGGGAATTCTCCCGGTCCTCCCGATTAGCCCATCCGGGCCTGCACATGATACTTTTTTCCAACAAAAAATGTGAAAATGCATGTTTTAATGGCTGTTTTCTGAATTGCAATGATAAAAAGACAAAACCAAGCCAAAATCATTCCTAAAACACTGAATCTAATGTAAAAAAAAATGTAAATGCTTTTAAACCAGACTTTATTAAATGTTCAAAATTTTGCAGAATATTTAAGCAAAATAGTGTATATTTATTAAAATAATGCCTAATTTGCATCCTTAAAAATGCTGAACAGTTGCAATTTGTATGGTGATGATCAGTAGTTATCTTGCTTTAAATGAAAGATGAAAAATAATCTCCTGGGTTAAACATAAAATAAATGTGTGACTAACATGAGAATAAATGTTTAATAGTGTCAGTAACTACTCTAGCCTATATGATGTTGAATATAAAGGGAATCTGATAATGACAAATGTCTCATTTTACCAGTGAAAAAAACTGGTCTAAAAATGTTGTCAATGACAAAAGACAAGGATCTGTCTCAAACAGAATAATTCAATTATAGAATTATGAAAAGCTCTGATGTAATATCTTTACTGTGAAAGCCCACTATTCCAAGTCTATACAAAAGGTATCATTTTAACCAACAGTAGACCTACACAAATAGGCCTAATATTATTATTGTTGTTTTACCATACATTTGAAAATAACAATAATAATAGCCTACTCATATAAACCTTTATTTCACATCTACAGAATTGTGATCTTGATTTTAAGCAAAAGAAATCGTGATTTTCATTTAAGCCAGAATCGTGTAGCCCTACTGTACAATATGGATGTATACCAAAACCATACTCTAATTACTTCCAGAATTACAGCTGATCACACAGAAAGACACTAAATAGTCATTACTTCATCAACTAGCTAATTAAAAGAATCCTTTTACAGTATTTTACTTTGAGAAGGATACTAATGATGCAAAATGGCCAAAACACGACTGGAGACAAGCCAATAACACTTTCTGATGAAGGTTTCAGGATAAATATCACAGAACCCCTTTAGTAGCACTAAAAGTAAACTGATAGAGGTTTAATGAGCATGGCATTTTGAGCTGAACATGGAAGCACTCAAAGTCCTGCTACAATACAGATGTAACACGATCGTACTTCCTGTACAAAGGTGACCTTCTTTTTGTTCTTTGAAGAGACGCTGGGTCTGTGCAGCTCTTTCAAATGAAAAAAAAATGCAATGGCTGCGTGTTTGTGTGTGTGCTGGTATGAGATTACTAATGTGCCGTCAAGAAATATGGGTCCACTGTGGAGTGTAGTGGCACACTTAGTAATGCTGCATAATGGGAAACCATTTTGAGAGACCTAGAGATTGCATTAAGATAAAGGATGGAAATTTCATCTCTTTTCTGACTTTATTTTATTCTGTAAAACAGCAAAATGGAAGGTAACGATTAATCAGTGAGACATAGCATTGTTCTAATCTGATGTAACACAGTAAAAACAAAAGGGTTTAAAATTGCACCTTAAAATTAAAATACTTTGTCTGTTTTTAAAAGTGCCTTTACTACACTAGTAAGTATACTACTAGTGGTGTAACGGATCACAAATCTCACGGTTCAGATCACATTAGGGTTTTTTTAGTCACAGATCGAACCATTTTTCAGATCAGTCAAAAAGGAGGAGGAAGAGAAATGTCATTTGCTTTTTATTTATTACAAAAACAGTACTGCAAGAAACTTTGTTTTATAAAACAAAACGAAGAAATAATCAGCTGAATAAAAGTAAATTGTGAAACATTTAGTAATGTGAAAAATTCACTGTTACTACTACTGTTGCTGACAGCACTAAATGTAGAAATCCAACATTAAAATTTGTACAACCCATTAGAGCTGCACGATTCTAGCTAAAATGAGAATCGGATTTTTTTTTTTGCTTAAAATAAAGATTTTCTCGATTTTCTCACGACTCTGTAGATATAAAAAAAAAGGTTAATATGAGTCAGCAATTATTATTGTTTTTTCCCAAACATATGGTAAAACAAAAATAATAATATTATGTGTAGGTCTACTGGTTTCTATAAATAATTCTATTCTACTTATAATAATTCTGATGTTTAATTATTGAGATTATTATGAGTCAGTGACAACAATATAAGACCATTTCATTCACTGGTATACAACGTTATATAGGCTAGAGTAGTTTTACTGACACTGCATACATTTATTAACTGTGTGTTCGCTTGTCGAAATCATAACTCTAAAATCCAATATGATTATTTAAATGATGTGCACACTTTCGGTTTCATTTTCCCTGCCGTGTGCTGTTCATACTTCTCGCACGGCTCTCAAACGATCACTCTGTGCCACAAACTGAATATTATTAACAACTGTATTACCTGTTACTCACAGCATTTGCATGTTCTGTTCACTAAAGTAGACGCGCGCACATCTATTATTAAGTAAAGCCCGCGCCCGCCCTGTCTGTAATAACAGCTCACAGTCAGCAGTTCCCGTAATGTGTGATTTCCCGGCCGCGAATACAGCATTATATGAAGACAAGACATTTTTAGGTGAATTTTACCTTATAAATACAGTATAGGACTCTTTTAACATCATTTGGAGGTGTCCATGTCGTTGAGCAATGTATGTGAAACAATGAAAAGACTTGTGCAGCCGCCTTTGCTTCTCTCCTGAATTTGAAAATATGATTGGCAGAATCGTAGAAATGCTGGATTAAGATCGTCTAGGGGGTCAAATTGAGATCGCGATCTTTTTTCGATTAATTGTGCAGCTCTACAACCTATATTAATTTTTGGTCTCATTTTCAATAAATGATTCTGTTATTCACTCATAAAACTTAATGTTTCATTGCTAGATGCGTCACTTTTAAAGAACATATTTTTTGATGGCTAGTTAACCTACTGGTCAAATAATTTAATTGCTGCTTAAAACGTTCATTTTTGAGCACATGCCGATGATTTTAATCTTTACCATAAACAGGAACAGTTTATGTGAAAAAAAATGCAGATATATATGGTTGTGTATGACCATTATACACTCGCGTCTTTTGCAGCACACTGTTTTTAGAAGATATGTGAAGATAAAACGATTAATATGTTTATCCACAGCTGTTCCAGAGCAGGGGACCAATCAGAAGTACTCAGAGGTGGGACTAGTATTGCGAACTTCTGTTTATGGGGTTGCAAGTTGGCATGACAATGACAACATGGCAAAAACACTCCTGAGCATTGCTTTTTGCTTCTTCAGACGCACAGACACGTTCTTTGTGAAAGGCACCACAGTTGTTGCACTGCATCAAACTGTGAAATTAAATCTGTTAATTTAAAAGTATGTAATTTCTTAGTGCTTAATATTCCAAAATGGATTATTGGCTGGGCGACAAATCGATTTTATCAATTAACTTAAGTGTGAAGTTTACATCGATTTGTTTGAATGAAAATCGTTTTTCACTCTAACATGTGACTCCCACACCAGGGTTAATAATATAATAATTATATAATTATGATATGCTTATGCTAATTATATAGGTTAATAATCTTCAATCATTTTTAGTGGGGGAAAAATCTGTTTAAATAATAAATAATTTTTTTTTTTAAAGACAATATCGCCCAGCCCTAGATATTTAATATAGATTACTTTAGATAGACATTTATAAACTTTCTGATTATAAAAACTTGGGTTATCTGGACCTTCAATAATAACAGAAACCTTTCAAGATTCATTAAAAAGTTTATTTAAAAAATTCGGTTACAAATATTACCTAATGTCTAATAGGCCTGGAATAACATTAATGACTATAGGACATTATTACATATTATCACAACATAAACAACTTTTTTTTTTTTATGCAAGGGAAAAACTTTTCCATTTTTGGTTACATCGTTGTCATGTAAACATAGCCTAAGGTAAGGAAATTAATTGTGGTTGAATTGCCCATTTAAGGAAAACTGAAATTATCATTACAAAATGTACACATATTCCCTAAAATAATTACAATTTACAAAGATTGCAGTGCTATATTTTTCACTTAGGTGTGTTGACATTATCAATTGGATAAATCAAATACTATTCAAGCATATAAAACATACAAGTAAGCTATTCTTAACCAGAATATTTTCAATTATTATGCTGTAGATTAAAAACTCTTTACACCAATCTATACATGTGGAACAACATCTGTGTCAAAACAAACCAAAGAGAACAAAAGCTATTGTGTACAAAACTGACTTCAATGTAATATTCATGATCAGAGCGAGTAGGTTTTGCACAGTGGTATTAATGGAGTACAAGTCAATTTTCTGTCAATAAATCAGGTTAAACATTCATACCTTACTAAAGCACAGCCCTCATGACCCCCGTACAATGAGACGTCCTCATGTGTCAGGTGGACACGGCGATCTTCCTACAGTGCAAGACCGACCATCCCCCTTAAGAAAGAGAGCAAAAACAAGACACTCATTACAATGCAATCAATACACTGCTATTTATTTTAAAGCAATTTAATTAAGATCAAAAATGTCTGTTTGAAACATTTCCTTGCAGCTTCAGAGCACTTTGGCATATTTACTGTCAGTCAAGAGGTTTTGTACAGTGCGGACGTCAACATTTAAGCTTATGGAGAAGCTTTTTCCTTCCACTTTGTCTCTTAAGTGGAAATCCAAACCCATTAATGCCTCGATGCACTGCAATCGAATTAAGAGCAGCTCATTTAAGAGGCTGATGACGTAAAAGCACAACAAGCAAATACACAATTAATGGCAGGGTTGGATGGTGTGATGAAATGTGTTCATTTTGCAATGCATATGGGTGGTCATTAGTAGGCGGTGCTATGAAAGCGATTTAGAATTGAGGACTCAAAAGAGACTCATCCAATCAGAAATTAGAACTGCAAGTCAAAGAAACCCCACAGATTCTGTGTGTTCTGAACTGAACTGTAAAACTAAAATTATACATTTAATCTTGTACTGATTCATTTAGAATTTACACTATTGTTTTTATGGATAAACCTAAAGCTAAAAAACTATGTTTTTACAAATTACATACTTTGACACATTTTTATTACGCCCCATTTACACGAGGCTTCAGTGTCAACTCTTGATCGAGGGCGTGTCTGAAGTTGGGGCTGCCATGATCGTCATAGCAGCGTCAGCCAATGAAATTAGTCAGCAATAGGCCACTGTCTGAGCTGGTGTATTTGCATACAGCAATCTGATTGGCTGACGCTTCTGTCGGCGCTCAAAAAGTTGAGCAAGTCCTAACTTCTGCAGCGAGCAACGCCTCCGAACCAACAGATCCACAATGCAGTTCGGCAATGCCTGATGACACCTATTCAAAGTGAGTGAAAAGCATTGAAGCTGATGCCCCGTGTGAATAGGGCATTACAGATACATGCAAAACAATGCCATGTATGGGCTGAATGCCTTAATGTGAGTAAATGTGATGGTATTTTTATTAGTTGAGAATTCACGAATAGCTTAGAAATCTGTAAGGGGTCGATCACACACATCAATCATTGGTTTTGCAAACTTTTAACAACTATGTCAAAAAAATGAATGTTCAAACTATTTAATTACACACAGAATCTATGTATGGTTTTGTCATCTACAGTAAAAATAGTTTAATATAGACTACTCTTTTGTTTTTGATCATACAGTTAACAAAAGTACATTATTCCAAACTGAATGTTTCACTTTGATTTTATTTATATATCAATATCGTTCAATATAGAATATAATTATCGAGATTGCGTTTTTGCCATATCGCCCAGCCCTACTTCCTTTTACTTACCTCAACTGATAGCTGATGCATTTAAATAGCACCAAAGTGAGACCCTGAAATCGGTGTTCAGGTTCAGTCCAGTAATGCTGGTCATATAGGTAACTTTACAGAACCCATCCCCTTTTAGTTGCATCTTGTGACATTGGCTGCATTTAAACTGCATGGTGACTGAATTTCGATTCTTTTCTCCCATGTGAAACAGATCAGATATAGCCAATGGACGTGTAAGCAGAAAAAAAAATAATCACATGAATTCCAATTTACTCAAATCAGATTCAGGCCTTGTTCATATGTGAAAATTTATCCAATATGAATTGGATCTATGCCCTCATGTATGCAGAGTAAGCCGGTATATTGGATTTTCGCATATCATTAAAAACGAATTATGTCAAGTCTGACGTTTTCAGTTCAGAACACACTTTAGCAAAGTCTCAAACCCTAAATCTCATACACAAGGACTAAAAAAACTTTTATGTTGTCCTGTAGCACAAGTACTTAAACATGTTAACAAGAGTGAGAGACTGCAATATCCGCCATGTCACCAAAAACTAATATAAAACTATTGCATACCTGTTTTTATTTATTTTAATCAGTTTTATTATTTGTTTTTATTTTTTATTTTTTACTTGTTTCTTTTATTCTTGTTTATGTAAAGCACTTTGAATTGCCACTGTGTATGAAATGTGCTATATAAATAAACTTGCCTTGCCTTGCCTTACATCACGTGCACAAATCACGCCATGGACATCACATTAAAATGCATACTGGTTTAAAAAGGCCTAGATAAAAAGAAGATGGCCAAATGAGAACTTTTCTGTCATAAACTATAGTAAAACAACTTGTCAAAAAGAATTATTAAAAAAAATTAACCCTATGAACAGATTAAATAGAGGGGTGGAGAAAAGAGTGCAATTTTATGTTAGCTGTCAGTAAGCGCACGCTCATTTTTTTTCTAGTCATTGCACCTTTGCCGTTTGCTGTGTAAATGCAGACAACCGGATACTTTTAAAAGATGATGTACCCCGGACATCCAAAACAATCGGAGTCACAAAATCAGAATTGATTATCAAGATCTGCAGTGTAAATGCAGCTTTGTGTGCTGTTTATGGTTTATTTAGATGTGTTTGGTCTGTGCTGCATACATATTTCAGTCGAACAACACCACATTTGTTTGAAGCAGACTAACACTCCAATTTCTTCAGGAAAAATCTAAATTCTGTAATTAATTCCTTACTCTTATGTCTTTTCAAACCCCTAAGACCTTCATTTACCTTAGACATATATAAGATATTTTATTAAGATATTTCCTCCAGTGAGAGCAATGGTCTTAAGATGTTTTAACTCCGAAATCATTGTCAAAATGTTCCATGTGACTTTAGTGGTGCAACTGTAATCATACAAAGCTCCAAAAACACTTTTGTACCCCAAAAAGCAACACTGTAAATACAACAGCAGAAAACACACCCTGATCTGATACAGAAGGCACTGGTGAACATAGTTGTTTTTACAGTTTTGGTGGTGTTCTTGGAGCTTCATTTGATCACAGTTAAACCACTGAAGTCACAGTGAATGTTGACAATGCTTTTTGATTATTTTTCTTTGAATGTCCCATGAACAATGCTGTATACAGAGGATAAGAGAGCTAAAATATATTAATTTTTGTTCCATGGATGAACAAACGTCTCAGGGGACTGGAATGAGGGTGAGTAATTAATTAACAACAGAATTTTTTATTTTTGGGTGAGCTAACCATTTAATCAAATGAGCTGCAAAGTAATTGCATTACTTAGTTAAGTATTTTAATCAAACCTGCCAAATGTGAAAACGCCATAAAAAGAGCCATAAAAAAGGACCAAATCATCATACAGGCTTCTGTCTGCACAGCACATCCCTAGAAACTGCTCAGCAACACCCTTGTATCCAATCATTACACTCTAGCATTATGGCAATGAGTTTTTCACTGAGTGTTTTTAGACACTATCACTTTTTCACAGCCTACAGAAACAAAGCAGATGTGGTCAACAAGGATTAGACATATTTGATGGATCCGTGTTAAAAGCACTTTAATCCAGAAGCACTGCATTTTCCTTTGGATTCTGATAAGACATAAAACAGCAAAACCCAGAAAGCACACAGATCAATTCTCATTGTTTCCGAAAAGACATAACCAAAGCAAAAAATTGGCTGTGTTTTGTAGTCGTAGCATCTCTGCCAGTTCATAACAGTTCTGAGGGGTGGTGTTGTGTCCCGGTAGGCTGGTGGTGACCTAATTTTAGCTTGTCTAAGCAGACGGCGGGGGAGAGCGTGGGTGGCTCAGAACGTTCTCCCCTCAACCCCCATTTCTGCAATGGCGTTCCTTGTTTTTATTCAATAAACATCTAGCCGACTGGCACGCATGCATGATCGTTAAAAAAACATGTTTACCTTTAAATAACTGTCTGATACTTTGATGACAGATCTGAGTCTGACAAACCCCCGAAACCCAAAGCATGTAAGAGTCACAGTCATCCCTATAGGGCACAACAAGTATTTAAAAATGCAATTATTCATATATATTTTTAAATAATATTTTAAAACATTATTATTCTTAATCTTATTTATTAATCATCTGCTATAATTATTTTTTCTTTTTTATTTCTTTTAACAAGAAACGAACTTGATCTGCCTGTAATATATAGTGCATCGAAAAAAATATAGAATAACTTATTATTTATTACCTCTTATGATCGGTTCCCTAGATTTGCCAATTATTGTTATGTGTTTGAATTTAAATGTTAGTTTGACTTTTACTTTGCAACATACTAGCAACTAGTGACATGCATTTTATGAATTTGACAAGTAATTGCCTACAATGACATTAGATCAATATAAAATATATAAAAATAAAAACATGAAATATTTTAGATATTAACCCATTGTAATTTCCTCCAAATAAATATTCTAAATAAAACTATAATTTGACATTTTTTATACAGTTTACCAGTAGTTCATTCAATAAAAAAAAATTAAAAAATAAACTGTTTGATTAAAACATGTATCTATTTGTGACCAAATATATTTTTTCCAAATCTGTGTGCGTGTGTGTGTGTATATATGTTAGGGCTGCACAATATATCGTTTCAGCATCCCTATTGCAATGTGATCATTTGCAATAGTCACATCGTCATGAGTATATGCAATGTTGATTTTGTATTATAACTTACCTTTTGTATGTGTTTTAGATGCCTGTGATCATATAATGATATTAAAAGCATTCAGGTACAGGGTGCTACATTTGTAGTGCATTCAGGTACTACAATTAATTTTATTGAATAGTTTTTATTTTTATCATTCAGTTACTGTACTTGAAGACTCTAGAAATGATAAAAAAAAACTAATTTAATTTAATCTTTTTTTAATTGTATTTATAGATTGCTGTGCATGAAAATATTCACAACACATGCAAATACAGAAATGCACTGCGTATAGCACAGACCACAACAAAATTGTGTGGGGGGACCCCAAACATTCTACAGATTATTTATTAGATTAAGGGATGCAATAATTAACCGATTCCACTATTAACTACGCTTTAATTCGTCACGGTTAATTAATCGTAAAGGGTTCTCAATACCGCGTCTCTGCACAGAACAAATCTGCAGCAACTAAACAAAGTTATGCCAATTGTGTGCTAGTTTAAAGTTCCAAGCTTGTACAATAGGCCAATACCCATATTATATTCAGTGTAAAATGTTTACCGGTTTAAATGCCAAAAACTTTTTTCAAGTCCAAAGAGAAATGGACTATTGTTTGCTTTTATTATTAATATGTGCTGTATTATTTGGTTACTGAGCAGCAATAAATACAACTTTAAAATATAAGGAGTTGTCATGTGATTTCCTAAACTAGTGCTGTTTTGAAATTACAAATGCATAATAATCGTGATAACCGTGAAACCATGATTATTTCTCAGACTATAATCGTATAACCAAAATCTATAACCATGGCATAACCAAATAGAATTTATGGAGATGCAAATAGTAAACATTAGCTCATCAATCTCTGACTAAACGCGTGGATGAAAATACTCACAACACATACAAATACAGAAATGCACTGCAAATAGGACAGAAAGCAATGAAAACATGTTTATAGGTTGTCTATCAGATTTTATAGAGATACAAATAGTAAACGTTAATTCATCAATCTCTGACTAAACGTGTGGATGAAAATAATCACAACACATGCAAATACAGAAACGCACGGCAAATAGCACAGACAGTACACAACAACAATGTGTATGGGGACCCCAAACATTTCATAGATTGTTAGATTTTTGGAGATGCACTCCCGCTGCAGAATCGTCCCAACAAACTAACTAACATTATATATTCTTTACAAATTGAGATATCAAGTCATCTAGTGAAATTGTAATCATAACGCAATTATATATATATATATATATATATATATATATATATATATATATAGGTAGCACTGATATAGCTTTCCAATAGTCTTAATGCAGTCCTAATATATGTATCCAATTCCAGCTGTAAACACGATCCTGTTTCGACTTACAAAGGATAGCAAGGGTACTGAGGGGTTAATGTTAAATGGACAGACGAAGCCATTTAAACCAGAGATGCATATTGATCATTAATATCCGTCTGAACATTACAGTCATGCATGAATATTATACGTCACGGTGGAGTCAGACAGACCGGCTAACTGTACTTCTGCCAATATTCATACACATATATACAGTAATGAGCCAGACAGCTGCAAACATCTGTACAACTATTAAAGCTCCTGGCGATAAAGATGATCGTCTACGCGTCAGTCAACCTGAAACACACTTTTGCTGATGTGTGTGAGCGACTGAATGAGACGCTTAGCATTAGCCAACTCGCTAACACTGATACACAAAAACAACCCGCATCACAATTACAACCACATGACTTGCTTAGTATTTTTATGTATTTTTCACATACTAATAAACGGATGTCTCCGAGTGTATTTTGTTCAGTATAGAATGACATTTAAAGCGTATGCGATGCTGCTAAGGAGCTAGCGTAGCTAACTAGCATGAAATCCAACTAGCTGACGCATGCCGAAAGAGCAGCTTTTATCAAAACATTAAACACACGTCCTTAAATGTCACACTACAAATTCTAGCCATTTTTAAAACCTCATATAAATGTTATTCATACACTACCCGGTAAATTAACGCCTTGTCGCGTTCATGTTTCGTGACTGTATTTGCTTTCAGTTTGTGCTACTATCCGGTATTTTACAAACCAACACACAAAAAGCGCTTTAAAAATTTCTCCGCAGGGCTGTAATACCTGTTCCCGTAGATCGCAGGATTCCCCCCGAAGCTTAATGTGATATCTGGATTTGGATGCTGTGGTGTTTGCAGGGATCTGACTGAGAGATGGCTGATTTCTCTTCCTGAGCCGAGCGGATGAAGTCAGACTGAATCTGCTGCTGCGCCTACAGGACAGACTGTGTGTGGAGGAGCAATTATGTCAGATTTAGGCTACACATTACATCTATACTAATCCCAAATCATATATTACTGTTACTCAAGAGTTATGAGTTAATATGAGTCTGCCTGTCTGTCTATCTATCTATCTATCTATCTATCTATCTATCTATCTATCTATCTATCTATCTATCTATCTATCTATCTATCTATCTATCTATCTATCTATCTATCTATCTGTCTATCTGTCTGTCTGTCTGTCTGTCTGTCTGTCTGTCTGTCTGTCTGTCTGTCTCAGGTCTGTTGTCAGCCTGGTGAAAGGGTGGGTATTTTTTCTCAACAGTGGATCTTTTTGCAATTATATGCCTTATTTTCTATTTAATTATGAAATTTAAACAGCATTTTAGAGACAATTTAAGCACTATTCTGAATTAGCATGTCGGATGGTCATCATAACCACACTTTTTAACTATTTTGGCCAAAATAGTATTCAAATCAATTTAAATATGGTCAACATTTGGTGCTTCAAGTCTTTTTATTGGTCTTTTTTTGCTTCATGATTAAGGTCCAAGAAGGTTTTCACCTTTTAAAACACTACAATAGCAAAAGAAATGCTCTCTTAAGTCAGATTGCATGTTTCCTTCCAAAGCTAAATGTTGGAATCATGAAAAATATTTGTTAGCACTGGCCAAAACTGATTAGCAGAAGTCACACCAAAGTGACAGCCAACCAAGGATTCTGCTTGGTCTTAAAGCCATTTTTGATGGGTTATTTTCACCACGATGGAATTTCACCAAAGTAGGACAAATGAGCTCATGTATGGGACAAATGCTGGACCTTTGTCAGTGAGGTGTGGGTCTATAGGCTGATAAAATGTCATATGAAACATACAGTATATTCCAGAATATTGAAAACATTGCAGTTTCTTCATTACATTGTTCAATTATTGGAATTGCAAATATGTACAGATATGGGGTAGATGAGGTAGATGATTCATCTATTGAATTGCATCCCAATCATCACAAATACTGTAGAATACCTATTGAAACCCGCATAGACACAATATTCTCATAGAAATCAGTCAAGTTTGGTGAAGGAAAAAAATTATGGTTTGGGGTTACATTTAGTATGGGGGTGTGTGAGAGATCTGCAGTGGTTGGCAACATCAACAGCCTGAGGTAAGTTCCAGAAAGCAAAGGTCAAGATGCTCCAGGATTGGCCTGCCCAGTCAACAGAGTGAACATTGTTGAGCATGTTTGGGGGGTATGTATATATATATATATATATATATATATGAAATACAAATATGAACTTGTCATATATGTCCTTTGCATATATCCATGTATCAGATTTCTTCATGGGTCTGCATTTGAGTATTCAATATTTGACAGGATGAGAGTGAGAATGTGCTGCTTTAACATCACATAGTCATGAGGTAAATCAAACTGATCAATGCTTTTCCATCCCGTGATTCCAGATAGGCTGAAAAAAGCTCCCCGCTGGTCAATCATTAACCTCGGCTTCATTAAAACAATGCGCCATCTCTCATGCTTAAACACTAGGATACTACGAGGATACTGGAGATCATGTAACAGGCTTAAGAGACCGCAGAAAATCATGGGTGGACAGACAGTCTGGTAAAGAGTTTTTCAGTCAGAGCATTATTGTTTAACTATATGTTTAGTAGATTTTGCATGGTATTGTTTTGCAATGTGCTTCCTGCAAGCTTTGTATTTGAGTGTCTTATAATGCTAAATGTAACCTTTAAACTTGCATTTTTAAACAAATGCCCAGAGGAAAAGTGTATTTCTCAAATGTTGTGATGTTTCCTATACACTTTTCTAATAAATATGATGCAATATACTGAGTTTTGATGGCAGACTCTGGTGCCTGGTGTTATCTGAGGACAGTTTGAGATCTTTTCTAAACTGTCAAAAAGAAATATGTGACTCTGGACTACAAAATTCTTATGTTGCACGTATATATTTTTTTATCAATAACCAAAAATACATTATATGTGTCAAAATTATTATTTTTTTGTTTATGCCAAAAGTCACTGTCAGTGAAGTTATTTTGTAAATTTGTACTGTAAATATATCAAAACTAAACTAAATTTGGTATTTGGCATTGATAAGCACTTCATTAGACTCATTAAAAGACAAATTCCCCAATATTTAGAATTTTTTAAACCCTCAGATTCCAGATAGTTTTATCTCAGCCAAATATTGTCCTGTTCTAAAAAGGTATACATCACTATGAATGTTATTTGTTATTTATGTAGCATTCAGATGATATAAATCTCAAAAAGTTGACATTCATGACTGCTTTTGTGGTCCAGGGTCACAAGAGAGGAGTCTTCATTAAATCCCACCACCCACTTGTGACATTTACATATTATAATAATAAAAAAAATCCTGTTTACTGATCGCATGCCACATGCTAAAATGAGTATATTTGGTAACACTTTATTTTGATTGTCCATTTGAGTATTAGTACAGCGCCTGCTTAATATCTGTTGACACTGCTCCTGACTATTAGAAACTTTGCAAGTACATGTCAGCTTACACTAATCCTAACCCCAACCTAACAATATACTTATAATCTAATGAGAATTAGTTAGTATGTAGATGCAATGTAACTTAAATTCAACAAACAGACCATCAAAATAAAGTTTTACCATATTTTCCTGTTATTTTTTTCCCCTAAGGATGACTCTAAGCTTCAAGCTTCTGCTCTACTACTGTATGATATCTGTGTTAATGCCAGCCATCTTCATACTGGCTACACGTGCCCGGGTCGACAAGTTCAGAAAGTTTAATGAGAGTACACAAACCAAATCTTCACAGGAACTCTTTGAGGAAGCGTTTGAAGAGCAGGTATGATTATTTCAGAAACCTAAACATAAGGTAATCCATGTTTGTTTGTTTGAGAAACCACGGCAGCCATTTTCTTTTCACGTCTGGTAAAGTGGATTATCTACATTCCTTGAGGGATATTACAAAGAGATCAAGTGGTTTTTGGCTTGGGGTTGATGATGAGTTCGAAAATCCTATCAACTATTCTGATTCAATCAATCAAATTGAGCTAAGTTAGAGCTGCAGTTTCAGTGTCTGTGTTGGGTTGGATTTATAGTTGCAGACTGTTTATGACACCAATTCAACATGATAAAACACATGGACATTAAATGTTAGCAAAATAGTAATTCTGATTTTTCTTCTCTCAAGGGCTACTACTTGCAACGTCTGTTCCTTCAGTATGGAGACAATGGGACTTTGACATATGAGGGTCTACAGAAGCTGCTTGGTAGTTTGGGTTTGGGAGAAGTCAGTGTCCTGGAGATTCGACATGGTGAAGCAAAACATCCTTCTCAATCGATATCCCATTCCCACTCACATGAAGACCATCACCCTTCTCAAAGGACTACAAACTCACCTCCACTCAGAGAAAGGTACATTAACTAAAGCAATATTTTAATGTAGGCTGGAGCCTATAAAGTTAACTTTTTGAATATCCCAAATAGCAACATTATATATGGTAATATATGCAAATTAGATAAATGACATGCAAGTTCATATTTGGATTTTACAGATATATAAAACATATATACAACATATTTCTCAGTACTGGGTTGAGGCTGAAAGGGCATCCGCTGCGTAAAACATATGCCGGATAAGTTGCCAGTTCATTCCCCTATGGCGACCACATATTAATAAAGGGACTAAGCCGAAAGGAAAATGAATGAATGAATGAATGAATATACAACATACAGTATTTCCCAGTACTGGGTTGTGGCCTGAAGGGCATCCGCTGTGTAAAACATCTGGGGGAATAGTTGGAGGTTCATTCCTTTGTGGCAACCCCAGATCAATGAGGGATTAAACTGAAAAGAAAATGAATGAATGAATGAATGAATATACAACATATTTCCCAGTACTGGGTTTGTGGCTGGAAGGGCATCCGCTGCGTAAAACATATGCTGGATAAGTTGGCGGATCATTCCCCTGTGGCAACCACATATTAATAAAGGGACTAAGCCGAAAAGAAAATGAATGAATTAATGAATGAATATACATCATATTTCCCAGTACTTGGTTGTAGCCTGAAGGGCATCCGCTGTGTAAAACATATGCTGGAATAGTTGGTGGTTCATTCCGCTGTGGTGACTAAACCAAAGGAAAATAAATAAGTGAATATACAACATATTAAAAATATATGAACATTTTATTTTCCTCAATATATATCTTTATACTATACAGATTTTTTTCAACCACTGGTATAAAAATATATACACAGTTTTTCTTCTTTATAAACATTCATTAGATTAGAATATTAAGGAGATCATGTTTCCATGAGGACGTTTGTAAACTTTCTTCTGTAAATATAACAAAACCTAATAATATGTAATATAAATAGTAATATGCATTTCCAAGCACTTAATTTAGACAGTTCTGAAGATGATTTTCTCAATATTTTAACTTTTATGAAGCATCATGTTCCAGATATTCAAATAGTTGCATCTTGACCTAATATTATCCTATCCGAACACACCATACATTATCAGAAAGCTTATTAAATTAGCTCTCAGATACTGTTTAAATGTTAATTTCCAAAACTAAACCTGTCATAAATGTAATTTGCATATATTTACATGTATCATATTTCTACTTGGGTATGTAAGCAGTTGTTATTCCCATCAACATAGCATAATTATGATGCTTTTTTATGCCATTTAATCATTCAGTCTGGATGCTAAATCAGCGCTCAGTGGCTCTCCGGCAGAATTGGGTCGCTCAGACTATTTTCTACACCCCGCTCTAAGAAACAAACAGGAGGAAAGTGTGTCACTGCTATCTGACCATCCGACAGAGAAACACCTTCATGGCAATGTGAGTATCTACTTCCAGCTGAGGTGTTACAAATGGACAAAGTCTACTATTGAATCCTCTTTACTATCATTTGACCAAAGGTCTGTTGAAATCCTGAGGTGCGCAGACAGTAAAATTCAATGCATT